TCTGAAGTGAGAATTTACTGTTACAGCATGTATGGAAAGGAACAACTTTGATACTCAGGTTTTCTTTTACCACCTCCCTCTGTCTCACACCTTTATTGCAGCATTGCCTTTCACTTTATAGTCAGTAATGGGCAGAAAGAAGGGGAAGAAGAGAGGGAGGGAGAACAGCTTAAATTTTGATGTTGAAGTGATAGGTCTTAGCTTTCTGCTATGCAGAAAAATACAGGGTTCTTCGTTTTCAGACAGTGTTCTTCCAGTGAACAAGCACTAAGGATGACTGCTGCTAGAGGTAGCTAGGAGAAATATTCTTCTTTTTTTGGCGTGTTACAGGATCATGTATCAAGGGTTTCAATGTTCTCCCTGGATAATCAATACCTGTTGTATCACATACTTCACTGAAGAGCTTAAATGAATGGTTGTCGTGTTCGTTATCTTTGCCGTTTGGTTTGCAGTTAGTAAGAAGGTGTTTCTATTGTGTAACAAAGCAAGTGAGTGAAAACCCCACTAGTCTTTGCTTTCCCTTACATACCTGTGGGACACTTCTACCTTAAAAAGTTGGTGTGTTGTCCCCTCTCTGTAGTGGCAGGATCTCTGCTCCTTGCTTTTGATTCCAGTCAGTTGCACTATCAGCAGTTTAGCTGATAAGCACATCTTGGTTACTGTAGTATGAGAAGTAGTTGCAACCCTTGCCAGTATTAGCCTTTAATACTGTGTGTCCTCTGGCTGCAGTTTAACTACTCCAGGTACTAATGTAATATTTCAAATGAGCATCAGATGGGCTGATGCAGATTTAATTTTTGTGAGTACCATGAGGTAATGAGGAAAAGTATGTACTCTCCTTGCTGCTTTGAAGAGCACGTTTGTGATGAAAAACCAGTGCCTGTTTAAAAAAGGCAAAGGTTTGGTTTTGAAGGGTACAGCTTGTCTGTGTTCTGGTGTATATATACAGAGGTGTTCTGTTTACTTGTGCAAATAGTGCCTGTGGGCCCGTTTCTGCTCTAAAGAAAGCTTGGCTGAGCTGTGTTCATGTTCCTCATTCTCTGCTACTCGCATCACCAGCTTTTAAATTGATGCATTTCTACTTGCTTTATGTTACTGCATTGTGGGGAAACACAAAAGGGCTGTCTCCTTAGGTTTAGAATAGGGGCAGGAACACAGGGAAGGTGTGTTAGTGTCAAACTAACGGCGAGCTGTAGAACAGAGGAGAAGGACTGGTCAGACCAGTTGTTTGAGTGCCGAGAGCCGTGTCCCGGCAGCAGAAAGTGGCACAAGGCAGTGACAGAAAGCTTTCCACACGCTCCACTGGCTGTTTGGCAGTCTCACAAGATGGCTGGTTATTCAAGGTATGCAGGCAGGCAGGCTTGGGCTGGGCTAATCTCAAAGTGCTACTCTGGGTGTTTTAAATTGACGTGGTAGTGATTCCGTTCTCCTGTGGCACATGTACTGTGAGGGTGAGACACACATCACGTGGAGGGCACTGAGGAGCAAGATACTTCTGCTGTAGTTTGATGATCAACCCTGAGGAAGGAGCAGAGTAAGTGGTTGAAGGTAGAAGGTCACCAGTGCTCCCCTGGCATTTTGCTGCTACTCACCATACTGTGTGCTTGGCTGATGAATATGCATCATCACATAAAACAGCTCATCTGCTTGAGTCACCATTTGCCTTTTTTGATTGGTTTTGACACCTTCTGAAGACGTAAAAGACACTAAGCTGTATTGTTTTCTTAATGCAGGATTTTGTAAGAGAATGATACTATAACTGTGGTATTTCCCTGCTTTTTGTAAGTCACTTTTGTAAGAATGGTTAGAATGATAAAAGATAGACATTAAACCTGGAAAGACATGGAGCTGCCGTCAAGTATGTATCTGGTGTCCAAATATTATCTAGGAGTTGCTGTATTTGAGTGTTTGATACAAAACAGTCAAGTATTAGCATGTTTCATTCCAGCCAGCTACTGCTAGGCTGGCCATGTTGATCCTTTTAAGCTATTTCGACACAATCTTTTGCTTACAAAAAGTCTTTAATATTCTTACTGTAGTTCTCTGTCTCTGGCCTTAAGAAGGAGGGATCTGCTATATTCGGTTATCTGAGGTAGGCGTAACATACTGTGAATATTCCAGTGAATATCAAGATGAACTTGCATTGACAGTTGCTTCACATGATTCCTTTGGATATTTCTGATATGAAAGTAAGTTAGTAATTAGTACATGAAAGCCAGTATATCCATGGGCAGTGGAAGGGGAGGATGGAGGAAGATCTGTGTAGGTCTTGAGCAGATTCAGATAGATTTGGGCAGATAGATCCAAATACAGTGTATTGGTATTGGAAAGACTGGGAACTTAATGTGGTAAATTGTATTCTGTGTATGATTGATAATTAGAGTAGGTCTGCAGGGAACACTGAATCATCATAATTTCCTTTCCATGCTTTAGCTAATTTGTATAGTCGCTGTTCAAGTTCCTCATGCATTTGGTACAAACCCTATGCTTTATGATTGATACTAAGTGTAAGAGTTGGTGACATTTTATTGGTCTGACTAATTGAGTTATGCAAATAATTGTATTTCTGCTTCCATAGAGATTAATTTTTCTTTCTAACATCAATTCACAGTATTATTTACAGAAGGAAGTAGCACAATGAGATGAAAACTTAGTATCCTTTCCAATGTCCTGTCTTACCAGGGCTGTATTTTTCACCTGTTGCTTTCATATGAAATCCCATCTGGTTTGCTGGCTGGAGTTTTTAGGTGTAACAACCAACATGGAAGTTCATGAATCTGATTTTACCACATGGGAGTGTAGAACTGCAGAGGCTGGTCAGTGATGAGCAGCTTTGAGGCAGAAATACATTGAACAACTGCCCATTTTGGGGACTTACCTTTAGGAGGCACTTTAGAAAAGGCTTTAAATGAGCCAATAAAACCATCAGATCGTTCCAGAGAGTGTCTGCACCTCAGCTTTATACTGATAGTCTTTTTCTACAGGTGAGTGTGTGGATTATAAATTACCTGTGACAAGAGGGAACAGATACTAGAAGGTGTATTTTTCTTCTCTCAACTGCATAATTTGCAAATTCGTATGGTTATTGACTATATTAAATGCACCAGTCTCAAAACAGATTTTTAACAGCTTTTCAATGAAGTAGGAGCTAGTGTGTTCTGCTGCTGCCAAACTGAATGCTTTTTCTTGCAGTTATGTTCTTTCTCTTTGCTTGCAGATTGAGATCATCATTGGGTTGTTTCTTTTGTTTGTTTTATTCTAGAATAACAGCAGTACATTGTGAACTTTCATTGCTAGCAAAAGTTATCAAAGTTATCAAAAAGTAGATAGGTACCAAGAAAACCACTGTTTTGACTGCACAAACCAAGGGGATGAATTCTCTTCCATTGATCATCTCTAGTCTCAGATTTCCCTACCATTTTCTTTCTGGTTCCTGTTGATTTCTACTGATTTCAGGCTGTAGCACTGAGATATTTTTTTTTTTTGCTTTGAAACCAAAAACATTAAGTGGTTTGCTTGTTACTTAAAAATGTGTTACTGTCATTTGATGATTTATGACTGTTGTCCAGTTGTGACACGTTCCCTTTCATACTTCCAGCTTTGTGCTCAGTGTTCCTTATGCTTTCCTCGTGTTGATTAGCTGGCAGTTACAGCCCAACTGTTGGTTTCAGATACTAAGTTTTAATTTGATAGTATTTCCTGGCAGAAACAGCTGGGATGAGGCTGCTGCTTTTTTTTCCTTACCTGATTTTTATGCCTCATACTGAAAGGTGACAGTGGTAGCAATTAGTCCCAGTCCTAACAGGATTTATGTATCCCTCTGTTTTACCAGTTTAAACCTCAGTGCTATGTGTTGGTTAATAACACAGGACTTTGGAGGAGAGGAGCCAAGCAGCACAAAGGGTTTCTTTTCAGACTGAGTCAAAGTGCAGTGCATGTGGCTGTAGGACTGTGTCAGAGAAAGCTAAACAAATGAGGAAGCAAGTATGAAAACAAGCTTGGTGTTGCAAGATGGCTTTGAGAGAGCTGTTGGAATAGCAGAATTAAATTTATAACTGGAGAATTTACGTTGTTTTTCAATAGTCTGATTTATACAGTATTGGAGGATAGGGTTGCATCTAAAAGTTATTACTGCTGTGGTGAATTTCTCCTAATGGAAATGATATAAGGGCTTCTGGTGCTTTCTAAAAATGCCAGTGGCCTTTCCAGACACCTGACCATCTGGGACTCCTGAAAAAGAAAATAGAGCATTATGCCCAGGCTCTTCCGTAAGTTTTCTGGCTATGTGGATCTTGGTATGATGTCCTTCTAATAGAACACTTTCTACATAGCTTTTCAAGTCCTCCAGTGTCTGCTTTGCAGATCTGCCGCAGACCATCTGTGCTCTTCCACAAGGGGATTTTGGCTGCTTGAAAGCAGATGGGAAAAGAGAATCTCACCCCCATCCTCCCCCAGCCCTTTCCTTTAGGTTGCTGGGTACAGATACCTTTTGCTGTATGGGTGGTGAGTGAGGATGTGACAGTAAGGAAGTTCTGGCAGGATGAGGGAGTCACAGTGTGTTGTAAAAATGAGTAAGTCGTGACATGTTGTTGCTTTCAGATCATCTATAGGAAAATGAAAAGTCTAAGACTCCAGAATCTTGTATCTTTTTTTGTTATTTTATGTTTGAAGTGTTTTTCAGAAGTGATAATGTGGAATTTTTGTTGATTTAATTTTAAAAAGCTCTGCTGCTTCGTTGTTGTTGTCTTTGCATTTACTATCCCATTACTTCCCATTTGCTACCCTTGATTTCTCACCTTCTCTTAGAAAAACTTGTGTTGGAGCATTTACTCATAAGTCAGGCTGGAAGATCAACAAGCTCTGCATAACACTTAGGTATCTGAATAGTTTTGCCTTTTCGGTTTTACTTTCCAGTAGCCTTTCTTTCCCCTCAATCTCTTTTTCATTGTGATTTTGGGTATAATATATTGTGAATTTTACTTCTAGATTTCCAAAGGAAAATGATGGAGGGACATTTACCAGTAATGCAAAGCACGCTGGAGCCAGTCAGTCTCTCAGATGATGCCTCTTCAGGGTCCCCACATAATGAGAAGTCTGATGAAAGATCTGGAATGAAGGAATGCTCAAGCATCAGTTACACTGAAGCTGATGCTGGTGTATCTGAAAGGGAATCCAGGTTGTTGCCTTTCGACCAGGATTCAGCAGCTATTGGCATGAGCAGCAATGGGGCCCTGGCAGAAAGACTGGAGCAGCAGTGCGGAGGGGCAGATTGCTGTGCGAATCCCTGCTCTGATAGAAAGGTGGAAAGCTCCACAGAACCAGAACATTTATCTAGTGAAGAATTTGAACGGCAAGATCCCAAAACTAACCAGACGGAACAGTCGCTGATGGAGATATTAGAGGAGCTGAGGGAGGAGTCTGACTTTGTGAAAAACTCAAGCGATAAAATCTATTCCGAAAGTCCCTATGACACAGACTGCACAAAGAAGCTTATTTCCACAATCCATCAGACTTCCTCACAGGAGGATTTGCTAAAGGAAATAGAGTCTGAACTCTTATCTACGGATCTTCCAAAGGAAATAAAATCCCCCAATGGTGTGCGGAAGGGTGAACATGCCTTGGCTGTGTTTGAAAAGTGTGTGCAAGAGAAATACCTGGAGCAAGAACAGACCATAAAAAAGTGAGTATTTGAACGTGCTCATCACAATTGGTGGCATGTACCAAACAGTTTTGGTTGCATCTTGTGTGCAGCTGCATACAACATCTTGGTATGAACCAGGTAGGCTCTTGTGAGTTGTTACAAGGACAGTTAATGAGTGTTTTTAATCATGTTCTTTAAGTGAGGAATTATTTCTACTTGTGGCGTGTACTTGTAAATAAAAACGTGTGCTTAGATCTCTGAATTACTGTGGAATTTGGCAGGAACTGAATAGCCAACTGTTGAGTTGAATAGCCTGCCAATGTCTGGAATTACTCAAATACTGTAAAAGTAAGGGTGATATAAAAATAGTCCAGGATTCATTCAGTCCATATATGTCTTTGGAGAAATTAATCTTCATAATTGCTAACTCACACAATATGCGTTTTATTTGAGTTTGAAATTACTTGTTTCTTTTTCAAGTAGTATTCGGTCTCCTGCTATGATCCAACAAAGTTGCTAAGCAGTTAAGAGCTAATCTTTGAGTTGAAAATGTCATGCAGAGATAAACTACTGTCTTGCCACATTTTACAGGAGGGCTTTTGAAATGCATGGCTTATAAACTTTGCTCTAGTAAACTGGGCTCAATAGTTCTACCAAGCAGTATGCTACATGTACAGTATTTATATCAAAGACAGTTCACTGTTTGATTTCTTCATTCCCCATGTGGTGTTTCATATTGTTAGCCCTTTAGAAATGTTTTTTGCTGACAAAATTGAGCCTCTAACTTCAAATTTATTCCTGCTTGCAGAGCTGCAATGAGTGTCATGTCTTCATGGCACTGTGATACCATGGTATGGGAGGGAAACCAGGCAGAGAGAGAGAGATGCCCAGTAGGGAAAGCATCTCAGTGGTTAACCTCTGACAGAAATCACAAATGTGAGAGGGAAGTTGATGACAAGAAAGCTTGGGAGTACCTAGTTAAACATTCAGTAATTACAGAGGAGGAGGAGTGGGAATCTGGAGTGGTGGGTGTGTAGATGGTTGTAACCTCAGGAGATCATACGTTAAAAGTTATCTGGGTTTTACTTGTTTACAGTAAACTCAAAGGCAGGTCAGTGGTATTGGCCATGGATCAGTTACTGTCTTAAAGACATATGTGTGTATTATGTATACATTACAGAAAGTTCTACATAGAAACGTGACTTTGGTTTCTCTCTTTTTTCTTTGCCAGCTGGTATCCCAGCTGCACCCCTTTGACTCTTGGGGACTCGCCTCAAATGTGTAAAACTGCTGTGGAACACTTTATGTTTGGTTCAAAGTGCATTCTGGGTTGGGTTGATTTTGTCCTTTAGTTTATGATCAGCAGAATTGCTTGTTACATTGCTCTGGAAGTAGCCCAGTGTTCAGATCTAGGATATGTAGATGAGCAGCAATTGAGTGGATAAAGAATTTGTAATCCTGGTGTATTCATTAATAGATTAAAAAGCAGATCAGAAGTGCTCTAAGCTTTCTTACACTGATGGTTTTGAATTCCTTGTAGTTTAGGAGACTAGTTTGCTCAGTGAATTTTTTCAAAGGAGGGGAGCTAAAGATGAAAGTGTATGTGTAAAGGCAAATGCCTGCCTCCCATAAATTCATGCAGTTAGTGGCCTAAAATACCCCCATCTAACTGTGTCTTCAAACATTTAAATACGTTTGAGACTCTGTTTATTCAGCAATTGGACAATATAATGTCTGAGTTTTGGGTGTAACTATCTTTTGTTGCAATGCTGGTCAGGCTAAGTATGTCAGCTTCAACTTATGCTCCAAAAAACTCAACTGCAAAGGAACAAACTATTGCTGAAAAAAATTGAGCTTTATAAGGAGTATGAGCAAGCACACTATTGTCGTAGTTACAGACCAACTTGGGACTGAAAAACTTGGGGTTCTGTCTCTTACCAAGTTGGGAACTTCAAGGGCTATTCTGAGCAATCCATGAAATGAATACAATACCGGTGTTTCCAGACATTTGACTGTCAGAGCTGGAAGTTACTGTCTTACGAATACCTGAAAATTATTAACATTTGCAGTACTGTAGTTGCATAGAGGTACTGAATGTCTTATGTTGTCATGTGCTGTAACAACCTCAAAATGCTGGAAACAAGCAATTTCCTCAGAAAGAAGATGCTGGTTTGGAATTGTCACAGGCACAACATAATTCTGATTTGGTTTTGTAAGGCTTTCATGGATTTCATTAGTATTTCTGGCTGTAACTCCCAATAGAATTTGCAGATCAAAGAGCAAAATCTCAAAACTAAACCCAACTAAAACCTCCCACTACTGGTGTACCTTGTTTTATGGGGTTTTATTTTTTTTATTTACAGATTAATTAAAGAAAATAAAAAACATCAGGAACTGATTTTGGAAATCTGCTCGGAAAAGGACAACTTAAAAGATGAATTGAAAAAACAAACCGAAACAGAAAAGCAGCACCTCAACATTATTAAACAGGTACAGATAATAAACCAGAAGCACTGTTTAGTGTCAGACCTGTATACAGTGTTAAACAGTGGCAATAATGACAGGACATCCTTGGTGGTATAGATGAGAAGGAGGGAATGTCCATGCTTATTATCTTAAACTTAAGGGGATAAATCTGCTCTTCCATTCCAAGAAATATTAATTGGCTAAGAGCAGATAGTGTCTTTGGATAAACTGCCTTTCCAGATTCACATCACTTAAGTGTCCTGTTTCTGGAAGCCTCTCTTCAAGTCAGGAGATCCCATTTTGTGGATTGTCCTGGTATGTGGGTTTTATGTACCTTGGCTTCCAAGTGTATGTTGAAGGCTGTGTCATTTTACAGAAAATGGCACGTTCAGTCTTTTATCCTGATGGGATGATTTGTTTCTTGTATGTGGGTTTAAAGGAGGTCTTAATTTGTCATGTTTATCTTCTGTTGTCTGTTGTTTCTGCTAATAGAAGTGGCTGGAGGTGTAGTTAGAGCAGTTAACAATATGTGCAATGTGTAAAATAAATAGAGTGTATTAACTGTGGTTTTGCATGCTGTTTTGATATTATCACTTACTATGCACAGGCATTTCCCCATATGTATAGAACCATGACAGGCCAAAGAGGAATACAGTGTGATGTAGGCTGGTATTAATGTTGGAAGAAAAGGAATCACCTCAAGTGTCACTGCTTGTCTAGTACAGTTATATGCTTATGTTCCTGCAGTTGGTTGTCCAGCTTCATACACTGATTATAGCTTACAAATCTGGCAAGAGAGATCATTTAGAATACCAATTTGTTTGTCAAAGTACTGCTGATACTACCCTAGTTGTCAGGTTAGCATCTGCATTGCACAGAAATCTGTTCCCAAAGCAGCGTGTCGGGCTAGCAGTGCTCTAGAGGAATGTGTTCATGTATGTAGAAGCTTAGTCTGTCTTTTGCTAATTTCAAAGAATCTTAAAAACCCATGATGTGATTGAAAATGGAATTGAAAAGTCTTGGGTGTAAGCTGCAAACTGGAATTGGATATGCCTGAATATGAATCAGTATGAGCAGCTTACTCATTCTCTCTTGTCCGTGTTTCCATGATAGCTTCATGAAATCATACAGTGCTGTATCATGCAGCAATTGCTTTATCCTGTTCTGGGGGAAAAATCAAATTGTAAGGGAGTTTGTTTTGCTTTCTGATTGGATAAGTAGGATCTATGATATTACCTGCTTGCTAGTGATATAAAAAAATACCAGTTTGGATAATACTCTTATCCTGTAGTTGGGTAGCACCTGGAGTTGTAAGAGACATGACAGTGAAACACTTGAGGTTTCTTCATTTGGGATGTTTTATTGTTACAGTTTCTGGATTAGTGTTTTCTGGTGGCTTTCAAGTCAATGAAGACTTGGCTACACTCACAGCTATAAGCAAACCATAAAGGCATGCTTGTACACGTAAAACTCTTTCTATGGGTAATGATTCATTTGCAAAGCTGAACAGGGTGTGATCAATTCCTTGTGTGGTAACGGAAGCATTTGAGGTTGTTCTTCCCTTTTATGTAGTTCAGAGTAGCACAAAAATGGAAGATACTGGCCCTGTACTTTTTACACCTCACCCACCCCCCAAAACCAAACCAGCTTGGCTGTGGTAACTTGGCTATCCCCTGGTACAAGCAGATAGTCATTAAGGCACAACTTGAACAACCTTTGGACAGTATTACAGCTTACGTAGTCACCACTTGCTCTTGTGCTGCTGCTGCTTGTACTGGACTTGCCTGGCTGTGCAGTGAATGCCGCCTTGGACATGTTCCACTTCAACACTGGTAATTATTCTTCAGCTGGATCAGTCAGTGATCTGACTTGGTTCACTAGGTGGCTAAAAATGTGCCAGCACTATGACTAAGCACCTCTCTATTTGCTGAGTTATTTTTCAATGATTTAATTCCCAGTTCAGTTTGGATGCATGACTGCTTTGCGGGAGGATATGGCACAGGGATAGCGACAAAAGGGTGGAAGGTGAAGCAGCTTCGGAGAGCAGCCAGCTCTGCTCTGGCATCTCAGCATTTTGTGTAGTAAATTACTATGCCTCGTGTTTTACTTGATTTGATGCATCTTCAGTCTCACTGAAGATGAGAATTGATGTCTTTCATGCCCATACTGTAATGCAAAGCTAGGTGTCAATATGGATAGTTGCAGCTTGACAAGTGTAAAATACAAGTAAATATCTGTTGGAGCTTCTAATGGTGTGTGAAATGTTCTTGCCTGTATGAAATGCAATTAAAGCCTTATTTTCCCTATAATTATATGATAATATCTTTTAGCTGGAAGCGAGAATGGAAGAGCTTAATAAAGAACTGAAAGCTAGTAAAGACAAACTTGTAACTCAAGATGCAGCAGCCAAAAATGCTATTCAGCAGTTGCATAAAGAGATGGCCTTTCGAATGGAACAGGTAATACGGAAAACCTTTAATTATTGAACTCATCTTATGAACCAACTTGGTTCTGGTAGGAAACATATAGCCTCAGTTGTTAGATAACTGGGTAAGGCAGTAGTTTCCAAAATGGGAACTACCAGCATGACGTTATGTATGCTGCTTTGATAAGTGTCATCAGTGAATTTCTAAATAGCTGTTACCATTCTGGAGTGCCTGATAACTCTTTTTAATGTGTATATTTATCTGTATGGAATCGAGGCCTTGAGGCAATCTCATTTTTCTTGCCTGTAAGCTGATCCTGCTTCAGAAGGAGGTAAAAGCTGGCAGTGGCTTTTTCTAGACAGGCTATCACAAAATTAGTGTTTCTCTCAACTCCAGCACAAAGCTCTTAATTTGTCTCATGTATTACTGAAAACAGATTATTTTTTCACTTCTTAATGTCATGTAATGCCAAGTACTTTTTCTGTTGTATGAATTCTAAAGCTGTGTTTGATTCTTTTATTAATCTTTTTATTTAATTCGAACCAGAATTTGTTAGGTTTGGGTTGAGGGGAATCTGCAGAAATAGGACACTGTATATTGAGGGTGCAGTTTGCGTGTGGATGAGAGAAGACAAGTGACTGGTACTGGGTGTTTGCAAAATTATTTTGTTAGTAAAACTTACCAAATATGCTGCTTCCCTTCTGAAACAACAATTTATATTCCAAATTACCAATGTTTTGATATCTCATTTGAGATGTTTAGGTGTGAAGCTGCAGCTGCTTAGCTACATATTTACTGTTAGAAGTATGAGTAATTCCAGTACTTCAGTGGAATCTAATGTTAGTCTTTGCAAAACTGGACCTTTTGAGTCCTTCTTTAATACTATATTGTGAAACTGAAAATACCCAGTAGCGTCCTATAAAAGCTAATTATGAAAATACAAGATTGATTCCTTCTATTTTCATATTTAAGGCAAACAAGAAGTGTGAAGAAGCACGCCATGAGAAAGAAACAATGGTGATGAAATACGTCCGAGGGGAGAAGGAGTCGCTTGACCTCCGAAAGGAAAAGGAGACACTTGAGAGAAGAGTGAGAGATGCAAACAAAGAAATAGAAAAGCATACTAATAAAATCAAACAACTTTCTCAGGAAAAAGGAAGATTGCACCAGCTCTATGAAGCGAAGGTACTCTGAGCATTGCTGTGTGACTTGAGTGAATGATGAAAAGCACTATCAGAACAGCCTCATCACTTGTTCGCTATTGGTGAAAGAAATCTGTTTTCTTTTGGTTTTGCTGTATTACTGTGAAAAACCCCTTTTCTCCAAGGGAAGGGGAGGAAGCTACTGAGTTCTCATTGTTGTCTTTTTGAAGTTCCTTTTCATATTTCCTTGAATATTAGTTTCTGAAACACGAGGACTTTTTTTCTTTGAGAAAATTGAAAAGACTGCTTGTGGCAGATGCCTGGATTTTGAGGGAATTTCTAGCTAGTTTGGATACATTTTAAGATTGTAATGGCATTCAATTCTTGCATTCTCGTGCTGTTTTTGTATATTTTCACTCTGTATTTTCTTTTCTGTGCTACAAGAAATAAGTAATAAAGTAACAAGATTTTTCAGGCCCAATTCAAATAATTTGCCGTTCTTTTTTAGGAGCTTGGTAAGAGATTCCCACCAGCCTCTGAAATTTTTCAGGTTTTCTTTTATTGTGCTTCCTAATTCTTTTTCATGTGAAAGATCAAAAAACTGGGTAGTAAGGTTCAAACTTTGTTTTGGCCCTCTCCTGAGCAATCGTACTATGCACAGATGGGTCAGAGAAATACATCTGAAGTACTAAAAACGAATGCTTCCAAAACAAAAAATCACCTGAGCATCCTGTCTTGCATCAATAGGAAGTGGGAGCATGACTTCAGGTTTCCTAAACTAAGCTTAATGTACTCTCTGTCTTCTGCTGAGGATTACACTAGAGCCTTACAGGACTTGTGCTGCCCTCATATGGTGCCGCTTTAAACTTTTATTTTTTTGGGTAAGATGAGCCTATTGCTTCAGAAGCACAGAATGGAAGTTTGACTTAATGCACTGGTTTGTGGATGCTGGTATAAAAGGTGACGCTAGCAGCGTGCCTCTGTTAATATCCATTCTTGGCATAGGTTAGTGATTTGACTTGCATATCGTAGAATGGTTTGGGTTGGAAAGGACCGTAAAGCTCATCCAGTTCCAGCCCCCTGTCAAAGGCAGGGACACCTTCCACTAGAGCAGGTATGTTTTGCTGTCAGTGCTCACGCTAGTCTGCACCTTTATAGTTGGTAATACCATTCCATTAGTGTTTTCTGTAGCTGTGTATAATATATGACCTTACCACTTAGAACCTGTGTTTCCTCATCCTTTAACAAGAAAAAAAGAACAAAAATAGGACCATGAAGCTTACACAGGAGATACTTATTTTAGATTGGAACACTAGGCTGTGCTTGCCTTTTAAAACAAATATGTGACATTAATGTATACCATCCATAACACAGCCTCACCTTGTTATTCAGACCAGAACACTAACGGGCTTTTTTCCACTGGATTATGGGGTAAAGCATTATTGACTACTCTCAAGAATGTGCATGCTTTTGTAAAATCCAGGCATTTAAGGAAAATAAACCCCTGCATTTGACACTTGAGCAGGAGTCTTGTTGTAGAAGCACTGGATGATTTAATACATAAAATAAAATCCATGACTTTTTCTTTAGGATGGTGAAGCCACTCGACTCAGCAGAGAAATAGAAAAATTGAAAGAAGAAATCAATTCTCATGTTATCAAAGTAAAATGGGCTCAGAACAAATTGAAAACAGAAATGGATTCACACAAGGTTAGTGAAGTGGTACTCATACCATGACATGAAAATGTAGTCAGAGGAATGTAGCTGCTATGCTATTTACTTTGTATATATTATTAAAATCTGATTTTTGAAGTGTTTTAAAGCATTAATTTGAATCCCTGCAGCAAAAGCTAGAACAATGCTTTTAAAAATACTGATGCCAAGATGGAAATGTTGAAAGGAGATGAGGGGAGGATGTGTGGGGGAATTCTGTTTAATCTGGTGATCAACTTTTAATTTAGGTTGTGTTTTTTGTTGTTTTGTTTTTGTGAATTAACTCTCAGCTTAGTTTTCATGTGATGTTAAATCTGTCATCTGAAAATGGGCATGCCACATAACCAAGAGATCCTTTTGGTGTGCTTTCAGTGTTGGAAATAAGCAAAATTGCATAAAGTAATAGTTGAATGGAGGCAAGATGAAAAATAACACTGGATGGGTTTTTGTTGTTTTGTTAATTCTTTCCAGACTGACATAGGAAACTTTAATTACGAGAAATGCTTTTCCCAGATAAAGTTAGATAAATAAGTTTAACCCATTATTTGTTACTGTTTTTGTAGGAAACCAAAGAACGCCTCAAAGATGCAATGACAAAATTAACTGAAGCAAAAGAAGAAGCAGACCAGATAAGAAAAAATTGTCAAGAAATGATAAAGACCTATCAGGTAGGCATGTTTTCTCAGGAGGTAATATTAGTGTTTAGCATTTGAGTCTTCTTTTTTCCTCCCTTTCTATCTTAAGCTGTAGCAGGGAAGAATTATCTTTTGTAAACTATAAAGCTGAGATGACTAGTGTCATGGTTCAAGCCCAGCCGGCAACT